GGGGGCTGGCTAGAGGCCGCCCTTTCCTGCTCTGTGATCACCGCAGCGACCCAGGGGCAGGCGCACAGGGGGGCTGGCTGCAGGCCGCCCTTTCCTGCTCTGGGATTCCCGCAGCGACCCAGCAGCAGGTGCACACGGGGGCTTCTCCAGTCTTCGATCCCTGGGCAGAGGGGGCCAGGGAAGAGGCCGGCGCCTGCGCCCGCCTCTTCCCACCCCCCTCTGGCTTCTCCGATCACTGACTGGGGGGCGGGCAAAGGCAGACCCGGTTCTCCAATCCAGGGCTGGGGGGCAGGGCGAAGGCAGCCCTCCGCCTCTTCCCTGCCCCCCTCTGGCTTCTCCGATCACTGGCTGGGGGGTGGGCAAAGGTGGCCCTGGTTCTTCTGGCTCTTGCCTGCCACCTGGGTTTCCGATCACCGTCCTTCCACTTTCGCCTCCCATCATTGTGCCTACGTATGCAAATTAACCGCCATCTTTCTTTGCAGTTAATTTGCATATCGCCCTGATTAGCCAATGGGAAGCATAGCAAAGGTACGATCAATTACCCTTTTTGTCTTTTACTAGATAGGATACTGTATATGAGGCCCCTAGAACTATAAGGAATGCAAAAAAAATCACTGTTAATAACTCACTCTCGAATTGCCCCTCTTAAAAATCAAATTGTCCTCCTGTGGGGCATGTGCCCCACATTGGGAACCACTGCTCTAGGGGGATAGAGCACTGCAGGGGTGCTCTGAGTGAAGGATAAGGCATTTGCATTCACTTGTTGGCTGCTGAACTCAGAGGTGATATAGCACCCGGTGTAAGTGTGTGTTTTAAATAAGTCAAGACAAGTGAATGAGTTCTGCTGTGTTTTGACAGGTGAGGAGCCAGAGATATGTTTTTTAAACATCTAGGAGTATTTGCTTGAAAGCGCTGACAGAGAAGACTTATGGAATGACCGAGTTCAAAGATGTGCGACTCTCCTGGGGATGTTAAGATACCTGCTCAGGTATGCTATTTTGAAGGCTTTCCTCTTTACCCTGTCTTTCAATGAAAGGCAGTAAAAAATCCTGCAGGGAGGTGAGAAATCAGGCAACTATATAACACCTTGGTTATGAGGAGTCTGCTTTCTGGGTGAAAAGAGATCTTAAAGGTAATGAAGCCCAAAAATCTAAGCACAGACTGAGAACAGGACACAGCATAACCAGTTACGTGTCCCAAGAAGATTATCAGGCAATGATGCATACAGTGAAATGGAGGGACAAACATTAGGAAGGTGTCCATCGAATCTATGGAACTGCAGTGAGTGCTCTTGAATCATCAAGGGCCAAGTGCTTCAGTTTTCTCACTTACACAAATTCAAACCAAACTCACCTTGCAGAGTCATTGTCAAATCAAATGAGATAATGGACATATAAGTAGTGTGCAAATTGGACAGACATAAGGGACTACTATTACCATTCAGTAAAGCCAAAAGCCATTATGTTACTAAGTGAAATAAGTCATATTTATTTGTAAAACATCTTCCTCTCAAAATGATACCTACATGGTTGCATAAGCCAATTTCATTACAGTTGATGTTCCAATTACATATATACCCTCTCTTGCTTTTCCTATAGTGGAGGCAGAATCATCAGGGAATTTTAAAGAACAGTTATCTAGATGTGCCATAATCCTCTATAATAATAAAAGTATAATATGCTAATTAGACCGGACAGCTGAACGACCTTCCAGACGTCATTCTGGATGTCCTTCCAGAGGAAGCCACAGAGGCGGGGGCAGAGGCAGAGGCGGTTAGGGGTGATCAAGCAGGTAGGCGAGCAGTTAGGGCCGATCAGACAGGAAGGCAGAGTGGTTAGGGGTGATCGGGCAGGCAGGCAGAGTGGTTAGGGGCGAGCAGGCAGGCAGGCAAGCGGTTAGGAGCCAGTGGTCCCAGATTGTGAGATTTTCGACACAGTCGAACATCCCCCGAGGGGGTCCCAGATTGTGAGAGGGTGCAGGCTGGCCTGAAGGACTCTCTCCGCCCCCCCCCCCC